GGGGCTGGTGGGTTAGAGCAGGAGGGGCCGGGAGCCAGGACTCCTGGGTTCTCTCCCTGGCTCCAGGAAAGAAGTGGGATCTCTCCTTTTTCACTGGCTCCTGCCTCTCATCGCTGGCCTCGGATTGTAGGGTGAGAAGGGGGGAGTTCGCTCGCAGCGTCCAGCCACCCCTGTTGTCAGCTGGGGTACCAGGGCAGCTGATCCATCACAAAAAGCATGTCTAGGGCTGATTTCACTCCCTGGCTTCCCCTACAGTGGAGCAACCCTGCCTCAGTTTCCCCTTTGAGCCAATCACCATTTAGCCCCGTGGCTGGCAGTCCCTTGCTATGCCTCCAGCCGGCTCGTTAATCATCCATCCCCACTCGGCGATAACGAAGCTAGTGGGTTAGGAGGGAAGGGCCTTTTGGGGGTCCTTTGCTTGGCAGGCTTTCGTAGTGGGGTGTGTTGTGAAGTGCGAGATCACAGGCAGTCTGCAGAGAACTAGCCTAGAGCAAGGCAGGAGGTGCTGTGCCTGTCTCCCTTAGGAGCAGCCTGTTTTGTCTCTTCCTGTTTTATGGATTCTTGGGTGTTATTGGCCGTACTGGGTCAGGCCACTGGTCCAGCTAGTCCAACGTCCTGTCTTCTGACACCGGCCAATGCCAGGTGCCCGAGAGGGAAAGAACAGAACAGGGAATCATCCAGTGACCCATCCCCTGTTGCCCATTCCCAGCGTCTGGCAAACAGAGGCTAGGGGCACCATCCCTGCCCAGCCTGGCTAATAGCCACTGATGGACCCATCCTCCATGAACTTCTCTAGTTCTTTTTTGAACCCTGTTCTCATCTTGGCCTTCACAGCATCCAGTGACGAGGAGTTCCACAGGTTGACTGTGCATTGTGTGAAGAAATACTTCCTTGTGTTTGATTTCAACCTGCTGCCTATTCATTTCATCAGGTGACCCCTAGTTCTTGTGTTGTGAGAAGGAATAAATAACACTTCCTTATTGACTTTCTCCACACCCATCATGATTTTATAGACCTCTCTCATATCCCCCCTTTGCTGTCTCTTTTCCAAACTGAAAAGTTCCCATCTTATTAATCTCTCCTCACATGGAAGCCGTTCCAGACCCCGAATTATTTTTGTTGCCTGTTTCTGAACCTTTTCCGATTCCAATCAATCCTTTTTGAGATGGGGCGACCAGATCTGCCGGCCGTATTCAGGTATTCAGCTGTGACGAACTGCGGACCCCGTGAAAGACGTTTCCGGGATTGGCTCACTGCCCCAGATGTTCTTAGCAACAGTTGCGGGGAAGCTACAACTCTTTGTTCACAAGGGATGAATTATGGGGAGTTTACTTTGGGGCGGGGGGCTCACCAGGATTCTCCATCGCCGATCCCAGGTGTTGCTTTGGGAATTATTTCGGGCAGGTCTCTGGCCCGGGCGCAATGGAGCGGGCAGCTTTTGCGATATTTTTTTGACGAGGTCTCGCCCTGCCTCGGTTTCCCCCTTAGGCTCTCCAGGGCTGCTCCGTGGGGCAGGGGAGAACAGGATGAAGTCTGCGCTCGAGGCGTGTTGCTGAGTGGTCTGAGATTGAACGGGTCATGGACAAGGACCAGCTCAGGCTGACCCATATCAGTGGAAAATCGGGGGTCAGGCCAGATGATCACCATGGTGCAAGCTACCCCTCGTCCAGGACCCAGCCCAGGGACCCTGCGGGAAGCTGCCGCACTCACTTTTCCTCGCGATTCCTTGCTCCTTCCTACCAATGCCTCTGTAGTAGGTTGTTTCCCAGACTCGCAGCCCCCCCGGCTACCCGTCCCCCGCCGCAGCTCCCTGTCAATCCACTCACAGCTGGGACAGCCAGGCAGCCTGTACACCCTGTGCGACAGCACACCTCCACCAGCATACCAACTCACCGGCAAGGGGGATGAGCCGTCGGCTATAACCACCCCAGAGCCCTTGTAGGTCTGGGATGGGTTGCAGAGGAAGGTTTGCCCGGTGGTCAGAGTGCCGGGTTGTGGGCTCGCCTCCTGGCTCTGCCACAAACCGTGGGCCCTTGGATAAGTCGCCCTGTGCCTCAGTTTCCCCACCTTGACCTACCTCTTGGGAGTGGAGGCTGTGAGAAGACATGCAGGAAAGAGGGCAAGGGGCCTAGAGACCACAATGATGGGCACCCCGTACATGCCACACACAGAGGACACCTAATAACCATGCCCTTGACTCTAGAGGCACGGTAGGCGTCGTCGGTCTGTATGTAACCCAGTGCTTAACGCTGCCTCCGGACTGGATGACTGGTGGAGAGCCGATGTGCCGCTGATTTTTTTTTTTAAAGGCTCCAGAGGCAATTCCAAGCCAGTGAGTCTAACGTCAGTGCCAGGCACATGGGCTGAAACTCTAGTCAAGAACCAAATGATCAGACGCAGAGACGAAGACGATTCGTCGGGCAGCATCAACCTGGTTTTTATAAGGAAAAATCACGCCTCGCCAATCTACTAGAATTCTTTGAGGGGATTCTACAAGCATGTAGGCCAAGGGGATCCAGTGGATCTAGTGTACTTAGATTTTCAGAAAGTGTTTGATAAGGTTCCTCGTCAAAGGCTATTAAGCAAAGTCAGCTGTCATGGGATAAGAGGGAAGGTTTTCTCATGGCTTGGTAACTTGTTAAATGACAGGAAACAAAGGGTAGAAATAAATGGACGGGTTTCAAAGCGGAGAGAGGTAACTAGTGGTGTCTGTACTGGGCCCGCTCCTATTAAACAGATACATAAACGATCTGGAAAAAGGGGTAACTAGTGAGGCGGCAACATTTGCAGACGACACAAAATGACTCAAGATCGTTAAGGCCCAGGCCGACAGCGAAGGGATCTCACAAAACTGGGCAACACAACGGCCCGTGAAAGTCACTGTTGATCCACGCACAAGCATTCACCCCATGAAATGACAGCACAACCTCGGCGTCACGCACCCCTCGGGAGCGGAGGGCATCGGTCACTCCGAAACCGTAGTCCGCCGAACGCAGCCGACTTTTACTGCCGAACATGGCCCAAGCGCAGCAGTAGGAGCAAAACACTGTTTTGAACCCTCGGCGTTCAAATTAAACCAGCCCAGAAGCCATTTCCTGCCCTTGACACCATTCTTTTGGCCCCTTGCCCTGTGTTTTGTTAGTACAGTAGTTTATGTTTAACATGGTACTGTACGGTGCGTGCTTTATTTTGTTTGTTTGTTCAGTTTTTGGGTCTCTAATGCTGATCGCGTCCTTCCGGTGCCGGCCGAGGGGTGCAGAGCTGCCCGGTCTGTAACTCGGGTGTCCGTAACTCTGAGGCTCTGTTGGGAATACGCAGTGGGTTTCAAACGGCCACCCAGCGCGCCATCAGCCTGTGGAACTCCTCACCAGAGGGACGTTGCGAAAAGCATGGGAAGAGGTCCCGGAGGATCACTCCACCCTTAGAGGTTTTTAAGGCCCAGTGAATCCTCCTTCCTGCCCCGTGGGTGTATCCGTCCCATCACGGGGGGCACCAGAAACCCCCCCAGCTCAGGGCTAGCCAGACTTTTTGCTTCCCACCTGGAATTGTCCCCTTGCTTTCCCCAAAGGGAAACTGAGGCAGGGCGCAACAGAGGGAGCTGGGGGGGGTGTTACACCATTTTGCCAGCATGCCAATGAGCTCCGGCACCAGCAGCTCGGCCTCCCTCCCCGCCTGCCCGCCCCCACACCAGCCTCACCTTGGCTGAGTCCCCGCGGGTTATCGGCTGGTACAGCAGGGCCCCGATGGACAACAGGACCAGGAGCCTGGCTGGGAAGCCCATGGTGCCCGGAGAAGAGACCCAGCACTGGAGCCGAAGGCCACCTGTTCCGAGCCCCTCTGCCCCGCCGGCCAATCTGCGGGGCGGGTAAACAGGGGCTTGCTCGCTGATGCCAACGGGTTGGCGTCACAGCCGGCTCAAGGGTCAGGGCTGCCCAGCCGGGGGGAAAAGATGACAGGGCGTTCGCCCCGGTGTGCGGAGGCGGGTGTCAGCTCAGGCCCTGGTTGGTTGGATCGAGGAGTGGGAAACTGAGGCACAAGGGGTAGAACCTGGTGCTGTGGGATGGGGGAAGCAGTGGGGAGGGGGTTAATGCCCGGGGGGACAGCTCCAGCAGCGGGGAGCCCTCCCATGGGCACAGGGACCCCAATAAACACAGGCCCCCCCCAATGGACCGGGGACCCCTTTCTCAGCCCTGCAGTAAACCTCCATCTCCCAGCAACCCCCTCTGACTCCCCCGGGGCAGTGGCTGTTTGCTAGGCGTTACATTGGCCACAATCCCAGACAGGGAGGGGTCTGTCTAGACAGGATGGCAGCGGGGGGAGGGAATATTCTCCTGCAACACCCCCTGCTGGCCATGCCCAGCCCCGGGTAGCCCCCAGTCCCCTGACACTCAGTTCAGACTCCCACTCGTCCCTTGGGAGTCACATCAGAGGTGGCAGCATCTCAGCGCCAGGTGAGGGGTCCCTGGGTAACCGGCCGCTCTGCCCCAGAGGTGGCCCCATCTCAGCTCCGGGCGAGGGGTCCCTGTGTCACCAACCGCCGCACCCCAGAGGTGGGCGTATCTCAGCACCGGGCAAGGGGTCCCCGTGTAACCAGCCATCCCGCTCCAGAGGTGGCCACATCTCAGCGCTGGGCGAGGGGTCCCTGTGTAACCAGCCGCTCCGCCCCAGAGATGGGCGCATCTCGGCACTGGGTGAGGGGTCCCTGGTTAACAGGCCGCCCCGCCCCAGAGGTGGCCCCATCTCAGCTCCGGGCGAGGGGTCCCTGTGTCACCAGCCGCCACGCCCCAGAGGTGGGCGTATCTCAGCACCGGGCAAGGGGTCCCCGTGTAACCAGCCATCCCGCTCCAGAGGTGGCCACATCTCAGCGCTGGGCGAGGGGTCCCTGTGTCACCAACCGCCGCACCCCAGAGGTGGGCGTATCTCAGCACCGGGCAAGGGGTCCCCGTGTAACCAACCATCCCACTCCAGAGATGGGCGCATCTCGGCACTGGGTGAGGGGTCCCTGGTTAACGGGCCGCCCCACCCCAGAGGTGGCCGCATCTCAGCGCCGGGCAGGGGTCCCTGCGTAACCAGCCATCCCACTCCAGAGGTGGCCGCATCTCAGCGCCGGGCGAGGGGTCCCTGGGCAACCAGCCGTCCCACTCCAGAGGTGGCCACATCTCAGCACCGGGCGAGGGGTCCCTGTGTAACCAGCCACTCCGCCCCAGAGATGGGTGCATCTTGGCACTGGGCGAGGGGTCCCTGGTTAACGGGCCGCCCCACCCCAGAGGTGGCTTCATCTCAGCGCCGGGCGAGGGGTCCCTGTGTAACCAGCCACCCCGCCCCAGAAATTGCCACATCTCAGCACCGGGCGAGGGGTCCCGGTGTCACCAGCCGCCCCACCCCAGAGGTGGCTGCATCTCAGCACCAGGGAAGGGGTCCCTGGATAACCAGCCACCCCACCCCAGAGGTGGCCGCATCTCAGCGCCAGATCGAGAGTTGGGGTTGAGCGTATAGTCGTCTTTTTATTTCGGAGAAGTTATTATAGTTACACACAGAGATGCAGAAAGATAAATATTGGCTTGTTCTCTACGGGTCGTCCACACAGTCACGGTTGGAACAGAGAGACCAGGATCGAAGCGGCTGGAAGGTGGGTTTTCGGAAACATTTTACCAGGTTGTTGTTGTTGGTTTTTTTTTGCTCTTTTGTTTCTTTGATTGGTGGAGGGGGGGGGTTAAACCATTTCGTTAGAGCTCTAAAGTGCCGTAAAACTAACGAGAGGTGCAATCTAGAACAGAAAGACGAAGGTACATTCGGTAGCGATGCTCGACGCTCACTGAGGACTCAGTGACGAAAGTGCAAAAGAGGTCGCGGAGACGGACAGCTATGTACAAATCAGTGACTGCCCTCCCCTGCCCCCGATCCCCTGCGATCCCCCCTGCCCCCCACTGCAGCTTGGGGGGGGGGAGCGGAACAGGTGCCCAGAATGCCTTTGGTGCGCTCTGCTAATACCCCAACCAGCGCCCTCCTCGGGCACAGCCCAGCAAGCAGAGGGGTGGGAAGGTCCTTGCGATGCAGCGGACGCATGTGTGCGCGATTCTCCCTGCCAGCCAGAAGAGGTGGCTGGGGCGGGTGGGGTGGGGGGGTTGCAATGGTCCTCGCCCTGCAGTGGCGGGCCGCAGGGTGGAATGCAGCCGGGGGGTGGTGGTGGCTGGAATGTGCACCACGCTGCACTGAAGTATTGCAGGGGAGGGAGGAATGCTCGTTTTATTGCAGGAACCGGGAGCGACGGGGAGCTGCTGGGTGAGGCAAGGCTTGTGCCGCAGCGGGGAGCGCTGGAAATTGCATGGCCGGGCTGCAGCAGAGCAGGGGAGCATCGCCCGTCGCAACGCGTCGCCGCGCCGCAGCAGAGCGGGGAGCATCGCCCGTCGCAATGCGTCGCCGCGCCGCAGCAGAGCGGGGTGCATTGCCGCACTGCAGCAGAACAGGGTGCATTTCCCTGCAGCCCCACAGC